CCCCCGCCCTGGCCCCCCTTAGCCTGAGGATGTAAGAACCAGATGGAAGTTAGGGAAAGGAAATTATGGGCTCATACCTGTGTAAAAACATATAGTTTATAATTGTTTAGAGCCTTTGATTCTCTTGTGGTATTTTCATTTTTGAATCTAGCTTAAGTCATGTGCAAGTTTTACCTTTCTATGATTTTTTCTTTTTGCCGACATAGCTCCTGTTTCAAATCCTGTTTTAAATGCTTTTCTATTAATGTGCAAAGTTGTCAGAAAAGTAAAGTAGTTCTCAAATAATTAAGAATTATCAAAATATTGTTCTCTCAAAGATCCTTATGTTTTTTTAATTTTTTAAAAATATTTATTTTGGAGAGAGAGAGAGAGAGAGCGCGAGCGAGCACAAGCAGGGGAGGGGTGGAGAGAGAGGGAGACACTGAATGTGAAGCAGGCTCCAGGGTCTTGAGCCGTCAGCACAGAGCCCGGCACGGGGCTCGAACCCACGAACTGCGAGATCATGACCTGAGCTGAAGTCAGACGCTTAACCGACTGAGCCACCCAGGTGCCCCTAAAGATCCTTATTTGGTTGTGTGTTACAATTTGTCCAACAGGAAATCCTGTGCAAAACAGTTTCACGTGGATTGACTAGGGCAACAGGAATGGCCGGTTCTCCTTATGCTTGTACAAATCAAATGCACAGCTTGTGAGAAATGTAACTTTTTATAGTTTCCTGTTTTACCTTGTTAAAGCCAGTTGGTAAAACAGGTTCATTAGTGAAGCTCCCAAGACCGAACCCAAGAAATCTTTATGCCACTATTTTCCACCTCTTGTAATTAGGTCAGCCAACTCCAGAAGGGGGCGTGGCTATGGCTTGCAGGCTTTTTTGGTAATGTAGACATTCTTATTTTTATTTTAATTTTTTAATGTTTATTTTTGAGAGAAAGAGAGAGACAGGGTGTGAACAGAGGAGGGGCAGAGAGAGAGGGAGACACAGAATCCGGAGCAGGCTCCTGGCTCTGAGCTGTCAGCACAGAGCCCGACGTGGGGCTGGAACCCACCGGCCGTGAGATCAGGACCTGAACCGAAGTCGGACGCTCAACCGACTGAGCCACCCAGGCGTCCCGACATTCTTACCTTTAAATTAATCTCTGTATAAAATGGAAAAAAAGAAATGAGCTCTTTGGTAAATACTGTCCTTCACTGCCTCATTCTTTGGAAAGCGCTTGTTCTTACGCTTTTCTCTTTATGAAGTGTGTATATTATTGGAGGGGAAAAGGTAGATATTAGGTTCTATACCCAATTCCAATTCCATTGTGTGTGGGGGAGGGGCTTCCCTACATCAATAAGCAATTCTGGGACACCAGCAGGGTATCTGAGAATTCACCTCAATAAGTCTTTTTTAAATTTTTTAAAATGTTTATTTTGAGAGAGAGAGAGTTTGGGAGCAGGGGAGGGGCAGAGAGCGGGACATAGAGAATCCCAAGCAGGTTCAGCGCTGTCAATGCAGAGCGTGACATGGGGCTCAAACTCACGAACCGTGAGACCAGGACCTGACCTGAAATCGAGAGTCGGATCTTTAACCAGCTGAGCCCCCCGGGCGCCCCCTCACCTCAGTAATTCCGACACTGTCTACCTGGAGACAGCATCATGTCCCACAGGTTAAGGGCTCAGCCCTGCAAGTCCGCCCTCCACCCCCTCTGCCCTGACTTCAGGCATCAGTGGGCAGCCCAGGTTGTCCCCTGTGCGCCTGGCTGACTGGCCATGGATCGAAGGTTCCACCGGCCCCCTCCTTGGGTTTGATTAATTTGCTAGAGCAGCTCACAGAACCCAGACATTTTACTTCCAGGGTTACCAGTCTGTTATAAAAGGATGTCACTCAGGAACAGCCAGGTGGCGGAGATGCTTGCACAGGGCGAGGTGTGGAACAAGAGTGCAGCTTCAGTGCTCTCTGAGTGTGCCACTCTCCCCGCACTTGCACGTGTTCACCAAGCAGGAAGCTCACCAAACCCCATCCACTCGGGTTTGCATGGAGTTTCATTACATAGGCATGACTGATTCTGTCCTTGGTGTTGGCCATTGACTGAGCCTCCAGCCCCTCTCCTCTCTGCTCTCCTCTCCCTGAAGGTCAGGGTGGTGGAGTGAAAGTTCTAACCTGCTAATCACGTGCTTGGTTCCCCTGGCAACCAGCCCCTATCCTTTGGTGCTTTCCAAAGGCTACCTCATTAACATAACATAGACACTTGTCGCCTGCTGCTCTTCCCTGAGGAAATGCAGGGGTTTTAGGAACTCTTGGCCAGAAATAGGAGGACTAAATCCATGTCTCTTATTACCTGTGACAATGTCACAGGTAGATTTGTATCTTGCAAGCCACACAACACAAAGCATATAGGTTTGAGTTCCTTCTGGCTCCCCCATTCTGAGCTGGGATACCCCAGTGTTTTAGGTGTTGGTGATGTTTTGTGTCCCATGTCACTCCAGTCCGTAAGTAGTGGCAAACATCTGTGAAGAAGCCTCCATCGTGAGTGTGAACAAGTCCACGGCTATGCGCTACAGCAAGAGTAACCCACCGAAGTGGGCTGAAAGCCACGACCTTGGCCCTACTGCTAACTGGCCACGTTCTCTGGTTGCGGTTTTGATTCTACATGGACGTGCCATCACTTCATGAGGACCGTTGCGCATCATCAGTGTGCTTGCTCTCTTTCAATTTTCTGCTGTCTGTTTTGTGTATCTATGCCAGAGCACAAGCAGGGATAAATAAATTTGCGTTCGTTTTTATTAGTGGCTTTAGAAAAGACTTTACGGAAGAAGAGGTAGAAATGACTGCCCTCCTCACTGCTGCTGTCCCTGAAGACACCTGAGAGTAGTAAGCTGTGTTTAGCGTGAGAAATGAGCCCACCGACCCAATCAAAGGAGGGACGCGGAGACTCGGAGCACAGTGAAGCGAGGCTTCAGTCATTGTTTTGCAAGAGCAGGTGTCTGATGATGGACAAGCAGTTACAGCAGACATTTTATCTCCTAGCGTGTAAGTCCCTCCCTTGGTTCCTCATTGGCTGAGTACTACAGAGGCAAGTCCCTCCCCTGGTTCCTCATTGGCTGAGTACTATAGAGGTTACAACTGACCCGGAAGTCCCGTATGCCCACGTAAGGCAAGAAGTTGTCTGATTGTAACAATGTACATTCCCTGTGGTGACTCAGAGACTTTCAGCCCCTCCTCCCTTTGTTCTTTGGCGCATGCTCATTGTATGGCCTGTGAAAATAAGCCCGCAAACAGAGAGGGAAAGAAGAACCAGGAAGTGAAGTGTCTAAGGGTTGGATACCCATTGTTGGCAGTATTTGTACGTATTTCCAATAGGTTGTAAACCTACCATTAACTAAACGGCACAGCTTTTTTTTGGTATTTCTGAAAATGAATCATCTCCCTTACTGCTCACATTTAGGAAAGGGAGGAAGAGATTTTGGGACCTCCAAACTTCCTTCTCAGGAGGCTGTCTCTCTCTTTTAACCTTCTAATCCATCATACAAGATGGTAGCCTTTGGAGTCTTCCTTCCAGAAGGCCTTGCTTAGGGCATGTTCATGAGTTAGTGACTCTGCACTCCCCTTTAATCCTTGGTGTTCTGTTCTCTCCTCCAGTCTTCCGTTTGTGCTAAGATTGTGCAGCTCCTGGGACAGAATGAGGTGGACTGTCGCCAGAAGCAGGTGGTTATCCTGAGCCAGGATAGCTTCTACCGTGTCCTCACTTCGGAGCAGAAGGCCAAAGCCTTGAAGGGCCAGTTCAATTTTGATCACCCGGGTGAGTCAGGAGTTGAAGGTGTGTTTGTGTGCTGGTTCACTGAGGGAGTTGTTTAACCTCTTGGAATCTGCTTCCACCTGTAAAAGGGAGGATTACTAAATACCTTGCGGGGTTATGGTGGGGCTCATATTAAAGAAGCCATTTTGAAACACATCACACATTGCATGACTTTGTAAATACTGATTGAATCTGCATCTGAACGAGGGTGACTCCATAGGAGTCTGTTATTTGAGGTTGGCCAGACACAGGCTAGCACAAACACATCTGCCTCCTCTGACCTGAAGCCTGTGTCACACCCTCCTCCCCACCCGCGCACACGTGTGCATGGCATGGTGTGAAACTCACTGGCAGAAAGGACTAAGGAGGGTCCAGGATGTCTGACAGTGATTTTTGCCCTGATGGTCCCAGATCAGCACATTGCCCTTTAACTGGTTTGGGTCCTTGTAACCATTGGAATCAAAACCTGTTGCCTCCCCGTGTCGCAAGTATGCTTTCCAGGTTAACTTATGCCAGTGCCCAAGGCAGCAGCTGAACTTGGAGGAGAGTGAGGTCTGAAGCCAAGGGTGGGATAGAAAGGTAGAAGAAAAGCAGGGTCTCAGAACTCATTCATGTGTTCTATTTTGAGTCACAGGGAGTTTGCCTTCTGCTTTGGGTAGAGATCTGGCTTTTTGGGGTGGGTGTATATGCTCCTCTAGGGTGTGATACACATACATGAACTACATGTGTAAGATTATAGGAGAAATCGTTTTAAAATCGAGAAACATTTTAACAGTTTGGTTTCCTTCAGATGCCTTTGACAATGAACTCATCTTCAAAACACTCAAAGAAATCACTGAAGGGAAAACAGTACAGATTCCCGTGTATGATTTTGTCTCTCATTCCCGGTAAGTGACCTGCTCTGGGCTGGGGGTTGTTCCTTGTAGTTCCCCGAGCATTCCCGTTTGTCAAGTTGCAGCCAGGGTCCTCCCCTGTGCGGTACCCACTGCAGCCTGTTAGCATGTGCGTGGGTGGGCACGGCTTGGGGACTTTACCCAGCGCTTCCTGGGACCGTCTGCTCATCACGATTTGCTAACTCTGAAAGGACAAGTTCACGAATTTGGGCTCAGGTGAGGGACTACGTATTTGTCCTGATTCACATCCCTGAGCTGTTGTTCCTGGAATAAGATGTAAAGGGGCTGGGCAGAGGACACAGGAAGAAGAGCAAAGGAAACTGTTCTTTCTTCTCTCCTGGTTTACTTTGAATTGGACCGCGCAGAGAGGTGTGAGGGCGCTGAGGTCACCAGAGATGGGACACTGAACTCTCGGGAGAGCTTCTCAGTCCTGTCCCTTCCGCGGCTCTGTGTTTGTGCTCCTGATTAGGAATGGAGGAGTGTGGCTTGACCTCCGTCCTGTCTTCCTTCCCTCTGCGTGGTTGCAGGGGGCTCCTGGCCAGACCCCCCCAAATTCCTTCGAGCCTCCAGGGACCCTGCTCACTCAGGACTTCCCAGGCAGACGCTAAACTTCTGACTGGTATATCAACCGCACGTAGTCGCTCCATATTCTGGGCTACAAATCGCTCAGTAAGTGTTGTTTTCAGCCCTTTGCTGTTTTGAAGGCTTCTCCCACCTGGTTATCATTCCACCTTCTTCTTGATTCCTTGACTTCGTTCTCTCCAGTGGAATTATTTATTTATTTATTTATTTTTTAACATTTATTCATTTTTGAGAGAGAGAGAGAGAGAGAGAGCATGAGCAGGGGAGGGACTGACAGAGACGGAGACGCAGAATCTGAAGCAGGTTCTAGGCTCCGAGCTGTCAGCACAGAGCCTGACGCGGGGCTTGAACCCATGTACCACGAGATCATGACCTGAGCCAAAGTCAGGCACTTAACTGACTGAGTGCCCCTTGGGTGGAGTTTTTTTTGTTTTTTTTTAATGGGAAATTAGATTTCATCTTTTACTACCACATATCTCTATAATTTTGTTTAATGTAGTTTATTTTCTTAAATTTAAGTCCAAGTTCGTTACCATATAGTGCAATAATGATTTCAGGAGTAGAATCCAGTGATTTATCCCCCACATAGAACACCCAGTGCTCATCCCAACAAGTGTCCTTAATGCCCCTCCCCCATTTAGCCCATCCCCCACTCAGCACCCTGCCAGCAACCCTTAGTTTGTTCTGTGTATTTAAGAGTCTGTTATGGTTTGTCTCCCTCTCTGTTTTTATATTTTTGCTTCCTTTCCCTTATGTTCTCTGTTTTTTATCTTAAATTCCACATATGAGTGAAAACATTTTTTTTTGTCTTTCTCTAATTTCGCTCAACACAATACACTCTAGTTCAATCCATGTTGCTGCAAATGGCAAGATTTCATTCTTTTTGATGGCCGAGTAATATTCCATTGTATGTATAAATCACATCTGTACATTCATCTGTTGATGGCCAAATGTTTCTATAATTAAAAGCCCATCCTGAGGCGCCTGGTGACTCAGTCAGTTGAGTGTCTGACTCTTGATTTCGGATAAGGTCATGATCCTAGGGTCATGGGATCAAGCCCGGCACCTAGGTCCACACTAAGCGCAGAGCCTGCTTAAGATTCTCTCTCTGCCCGTTCCCCCCATCTTGTGTTTTCTCTCTCTCTCTCTCTCTCTCTCTCTTTTTCTCTCTCAAAAAAACCAAAACAAAACAAAAATCTGGAGTTCTATCACTGTTCTAAGAGAATATCTTCTGACCGTACTCACCTGGTCCTTTATTGCTGTCATTTACACCCTACATTCTGCCACTTTGGCATTGTTTTAACAGTGTCTTTCTTGGAAATTAGACAGGAACCCAAGGGTCTGAGCTAAGAAGGAATCGAAGAGTGTTTATGGGAGGGAAGTTCAGTGCACCCTCTTGGGTTAGTAGCTGCTGGCTTCCCTGTGTTTGCACAGATAAACCTCTTGTCCTTTCTCTTTTATATAAAGTTTATTATTTTGAGAGAGACGGAGACAACGTGGGTGGGGGAGGGGCAGAGGAAGATGGAGATTCCCAAGCAGGCTCCACACTGCCAGTGCAGAGCTAGATGCAGGGCTCGAACCCTTGAAACTGTGAGGTCATGACCTCAGCTGAAACCAAGAGCTGGACGCTTAACCGACTGAGCCACCCAGGTGCCCTTATTGGCTTTTTTTGTTTTGTTTTTAGTTTTATTTATTTATTTATTTTGAGAGAGAGCGTGTGAGCCAGTGAGCATGAGCGGAGGAGGGGCAGAGACAGAGGGAGAGAGAGAATCCCCAGCAGGCTTCGCACAGTCAGCATGGAGCCCGTTGCGGGGCTCGATCTCACCAACCGTGAGGTCATGACCTGAGCCGAAACCAAGAGCCAGACGCTTAATGGACTGAGCCACCCAGGTGCCCCGATGGACGTATCGTCTTAAGGAACTTAAAAAATAATGCTTCATTGCCTGCGTGAGGAGTTAACCTTGCGGTGGTAATCATGACTTCCCTTTCAGTGACTTTGGAGCTAGAGGAAGTAGGTGACAGTGCAGCCTAGGGTGGTTAGGACAGAGTCAGATGGTAAGAATGCTCTGAAAATGCAGGCAAGGCGCAACTCGGCCCACGGCCTCCCTCCCTTTATCGCATTCGGCCTCCCTTTATCGCATTCGGCAACAGAACCCACCCCGCCCGCCTTGCTTTTGAAAAGCCCTCTATTTGCTAATATCTGCCTTGGGCTACCCAGCCCTGTGGGGTAGGTGGTGATGCAGGACCCCTGCATCAGTGATGAGGGGGAGGGAGCAGCGCCCTGCAGCCCTGGACCCCACAGGCCCTGACCCACGACCATGGCCACACCATGCCACGCCGCGCCACGGCGCTTCTGCTAGCCGTAGGGGCCGACCCCACAGAGCTCGGGAGTCTTTCCTTCCCTGGAGATGCTTCCTCCCCTCACCTCTCTTTACAACTTCCTTTTTGCCTCCCTCCCTCCCTCCCTGCCGGCCCTTCCTCTCCTCTCCAGTTGCCTCAGGACAGCGGGGAAGGGGTAGGGTTGTTGGGAGAAAACTGTGAGGTTCTGTTTGTGAAAGCTCCAGGTTAGGTTCCATAAATGCCCATGCACGAGAGCATTCCCCCAGACGCCTCCGGAGAAAAGAAGAAATCGCATCTGCTTCTGTCTGTCTCTGTTGTGCGTTCAACAAACAGCAGGCTGTTTATTCCAAGGAGAGGGATGACGGGCTTCGATTTCTGCTTTATGGCCAGAGCCCAGAAGAACTGGTCAAAGGGGACCTTTGCCCCGGTGCTGCTGGCCCTTTGGTGGGTCTTCAGTGGTGGTCCGAGGGCTCTGCCAGGCTGTGTTAGCTCTACCCCCTTTCGGTCCTGCTGTAGGAAAGGACCCCAGACTCCCAGACAGATGCTGTTCCTGCCCCGTTGCCCACCCTGCCCGGTTCGGCCCGTCATGCGCTCTGTGTTTTGCAGGAAGGAGGAGACGGTCACTGTCTATCCCGCAGACGTGGTGCTCTTTGAAGGGATCCTGGCCTTCTACTCCCAGGAAGTACGAGACCTGTTCCAGATGAAGCTTTTCGTGGACACAGATGCCGACACGCGGCTCTCCCGCAGAGGTGCGTTCTAGAAAGCCCCCAGTGGCCGCGTGGGTGGCCCAGCCCAGCCGAGTCCAATCAGCTCCAGGGCATCCTGCTGCCCAAACATTTGGTGACCTCTGAGAAGGGATTAGTCACTGTTTCGGATAACGGAAGGCTTGTGAGGTCACGGAGGTGAAACGAGACGTTTACGTTTTGGTTTCGCTGGAAAAAGGTTTGGTTAAATGCCCAGTTCTTACTGGTTTTCCCACAGGCATCGTAATCTACACCGGAGCTAACTGTAGGAGGTGTGGGTGCAGGAGTGCCCTGTGCCTGTGGCACCAGGCTGCTTCTCTAGTCCTTGATTTTCCAGAAAGCTCTGTGGAGGTTTTGTCATTCTGTCCAGCCGGCTGTGGAGCAAAGTCGGTCGGTCAGTTCCTCTGCAGGGCTATTTGGGAGTGTGCCTGTGCGAGTCCCCATGCCAGGGGGTCCCAAGGACACAGAACTGCCCTTCGGTGGAGAGGAGAGCCCTTGCCTCCACCAGAGGGATTCGGAAACTTCATGCAGGGTGTGGTAGAGTGATGACAAGACAACCCAAGAAGTCACATCGTGCAAATATAGACACACGGGGCTCGTGCATTCATTTCTAGAGACACTAGAAATTGCTTGATGCAGATTGTGGGGACTGTGGCTTCTGATTTGGTTCCTGGAAGAGGAGGGACAGGTACCAAGGGGTTTTGAGCAGGGGTGGGGAGGGGTGAGAAGGTACCAGCAGAGTTAGGAAAGGACACCCCCCATGGGGGCGGCGGGTGGGGGCGAGGAAGGCTTCGAGTCCGCATCGTGTGGAAGAGGAACATGACCTAGGAAGTGGCAAGGTGGCTCCTAGTCACAGAGCAAATCCTGGGCACTTTGGAGTTTTGTAAGCTCCAGCCCAGAGCCTTCTGACCTCGGAGCCTGTGACATTTTCTCTTCTCGGTTCACAAAACCAACTTGGAGTTTATCTCCATCAGTCCTCTCACGGCAAGAACTATAAGTGAAACCAGCAGAATCCAGGGAAATGAGTTTTGCCCTCCCAAGTAGTAGTGTCTACACTCTACTAAGTGAGTTGTTGTTACACTTCCACTCCCAGGTGGGGTGGGGGAGGGGTAGAACTCCATGATGGATAAAAGGAGACTAGGAGGCCCCTATTCTAGCCCCATAGCCTCCAGCTACCTTTGTGACTTTGGTGGCCCTTGTGACTCCTGTAACCTCCCACGCTTGGGTTTCTTTATGAGGGAGGCAAGCCTGTTTTTTGGGTCAGGACTCTGGCCAGGTAAGAAGTTCCGTGGTCTTTTTTAGTAGATAATCGAGGCCTGAGGCTGACGGTCCATCACACAGCTGTCCCAGGGCCTGGTTTATCACCTCAGTCCCCAAAGCCAGGCCTTGCCTTGGGTGATCTGCTGGATGTCCCCATCAGTCTGCCAAATCAGGGAAGCAGTATGATGCTCCAGGGGAAGAAATTGGAATCAGAGGAACTGGACTTAAATCCTGATTTCACCATTTCGTAGACGTGTGACCTCGGGCAGGTTACGCATTAACTTCTTTGTCCCTCATAAATCGGAATCACCCCAGTGGTCGATCATGTCAAGATCAGGACCCCTGGGTTGTGATGATCAGAGGTAACGTGGGTAGAATGCCGGGTGGCGCATTAGTTGATAACAATTGCTGGGTTAGATCGGAAGTCCGCTTTGATAGATGG